TGGGCAAGAATGTCCTCTCCCCGGCAGAGTAACATAGCTCGTCGGCGGGAGAGAGACATCTGCCGCCAAGCACTAGCGCAGCACATCGGTAAGTCCACGTTCGCTCCATTCGGCGGCAGGATGCTGACCACGAGTTGACGAGCGATTGGGAATTGTAGTAAGCCCTTCCGAGGTGCGGCTGAGCCCTCGACCTCAGGATGGGTATGGCTGGAAGCCCTGCCCTGGGTATGAGAATACATTCTCGCTCCTGTTCGCCAAGAACCTGAGCGACCACTCGATCAGCACGTATCGTCTTCTCTCGCGACAGGTAGGCAATACCTTCGAAGCTGTTCCCGCAGGCGTGGATGTAGAAGCCACCGACCACATACCTCTGGTAAGTGGACATCTTGTGGTGCAACGAATACCGAGTGCTGACTGTTCTAATGACCGAGCGGCCATCAAGAGGATTTTCTGCCGAAATCAGTCGACTTCAACAAGAGAATGCACTTCTTTCAGGACATGTCCGGGAGCTGTCCGATGCCTTGGAGAATGAGGTCGATTGTAAGCTTCGTGTCGAGAAAGAGAAGGAACAGCAGCATAAACATCTGCAAGCCGCCGAGGACAAAATAAAGGAACTCGTGGAGAAAGCGCGAGGTTACCAAGCACCGCTCTTGAAATGCTTCGAAGAGCTAGACAGGACAGTGCCCATCCTAGCCGAGCTTCGTCGGATTGCAATGGAAGGAGTGGCGCCGGAGTGATATGAAAGGGAGTCGTCGGCTCCGGAGATCATGATCAGTGAACAAGCCGTCGATATATTTCTTGTTGAACAAGTCGGCCCAGAGAAGGATGTCGTTTGACATTGCTCGGTCTCCAGTAGCCACTGGTGAAGTCGACATTGTTTTCTCTAGGTCGGGCATTGATCGTGGTCCCTCGTCACACCGAATTGCGAACAGCGGGATACACCGACATTTGCGGGCAGATATAGATCCAGTAACAGTTCAGCCAGAGCCTTGCTATACAAGTGAGCTTAGAGGCCGTCTTTCGGGAGACCAGTTAGCATGTCGCCGAAGTAGCAGACCAGAACAGTGCAGCGGTAACCATGAAGATGAGCTGTAGCTCATGATCTCGCCTGAAAAGCATGACTTCAAATTATGATAGATAGGATCGAAACGCGTTGATGAAAGACGACTGTAGGTAAGGAAATAGTTGTGAAAGATTGCATCAACTTTTGCGTTACCGATGTGCCGCTAGAAAGCTCTTGTGGCGTCTGGGCGGCTAAGCAAAAATAGCCCGTTACGGATGTGGCACGATAAGCCTCGTCGGCCACTAGCAGGCATACAGTACGAGTCAAACTACAGCTCTGATTCTTCCACCTTTCTCTTCTTCTCTCGGCCCTGGTCGCACAGCTCTTCTTGCTGCTCTGGGCACCGGATATGTTGATAGAGCGCGGATATTACCCGCGCACGCTCGGTGTTTGACGCCGCCAGTAGCTGCGCCTGTTTTTGCGCCTCAATGAGAGTGAAGTTTTGCATGGAAATATGCTTCGTCTTCTCTCCCAGGGCATCTTTCAGCAGGTCTGCTTGCCTTTCCAAAACCTCCTTCTCCATGGCGGACTCGTCCAGCTGGTCGCGCAGCTCTACTATCGACTGATGCAGCGACTGGTTTTGCTTCTGTTCGTGGCCTAGCTTGAGCTCTAGCGTCTGATACATCTCGTGTAGACGAATGATCTCAGAGGCGACGTCCATGCTTCGTCGGTGCGGCAGGGGCATCTGGGCCGGCTGAGGGGCGGCAGGGGGTGGTTATGTAGTCGGCCGTCCGCCGCTGTGCCGCGGCCAAAAGTGGCAGCGCAGCACTAACTGCCCACGATCGTGCCGAGATATTGTTTGGAGGCACGTGGGCCTCATCACGAGGGGCGATATATCGAGCCACGACTCCCGCCGTGAAATGGACCGCGACGTGCCATGGCCATCAAAGGTGACCCTGAGAAAGTGACACCACCCGTGAGTCCGAGCGGGCGTTGTACATTGTACATGAAATTGACAAACGCAGGTCAGCATGCTCTCCGACGATGAGCTAGATAGGCACCGGCAGCTCGAGTCGGTGACCCTGAGGTATGGCCACACCTGCGAGACAGTGTCGTATGAATGGAGTGCCCGAGGAGGCAAGCCGTCCGACTGCTGCACGACCAAGGACAGTCGAGTCTACTTGCCAGCGGACATCACGTCAGTGATGCTGACAGAGTCC